CCCTTATAATAAACTCAAAAAAATTCTAGGGGATTTTTCTTCTATTTTGCCACCATTTTTAGAATTCAGAACAAGAAAAAAAAAAAAAAAAAAAAAAAAAAAGACCTTTTTGTGGCAAATACTGAAACAGTTCAGTTTTGGAGCTTCAGTCTATAATCGCTGTGAGGGAACGTTTTCTGCATTCATCACTCACGGTTCTCACGTTTTAGAGAAAATAATTCAGGCCCACAATTCAGAAAATGAATTTTAAACGGTATGTTACTACACTTCAGATCCATACAGTTTTTAAATGTTCACTATTCTGTGTTCACTCACTGTTCTTGTGATTTTCTTTTCTATCTTTTGAATAGTCTACACTTTTAAAAAAGCATAGATTCAGTCCTATTTAAAGTAACTTAAATTTAAAATTACTTTTTAATTCCTAAATCGATAAAGATACCTTCTTTAATTTTGGCTTCAAGAATTTTAGGAAACATTATTAAAAAAAAAAAAAAAAAAAAAAAAAAAAAAAAAAAAAAGATTGAAACTTCTCTCCTTTCCCATTGCCTTCATTAAGTTTTACATCAAAGACCTGTTCGGCATGCGAACCTGTTCAGCACCTGTTAGTCAGCGAAATAAATATAAACGAATTTTACACTCGGGCTGGCTGCATGGGCGTTTTCGTGGTTTTTCCCATATGTATACCAGCCAGTTTCCCTTAGAAAGTCCTCAGCGAAGGCAACTCTTCCCTTAAGCAGATAGTCCTCGATGCTTAACAGTATTCAAATAAACCAAACCACACCAGATAACTGTACATGCAGGTAAAACATAAAGACACAGCCATTTCGAACTAAAATTGCGAGTATAAAAAATCCGCAAATTTATATAGTATCAGTTTTACGCATCCTTTTAAAATCTTGGGGTTAGGTTATTTGAACACGGCAATGGCAAGAGCTTAGGCTATCTACCTAAGAGGAGGAATGCCATTATGGAACATTTTTTGAGGGGAACTAGCCCACATTTACTGTACACTTGGAAAAAACCACGAAAACCAAGCAGCCATCCCGTTCGCCTGGAATCGAACTACCAGTATTTAGCGGACTTAAAGAGGGGAAGAATATAATGAAAAAATGCACCTTTAGAGATAAATTTTACGCAATAAAATTCATTACATAGCTGTTTCATGCGATTTACACTTCATTGTGAAAATTTTGTCGAATACTGAAGTTAAAAATAAAATGATAAAACGTAGCGAAAGCAAATCGATGCTTTATTTTATTTATTTATTTATTATTATTATTATTATTATTTTTTTTTCCCCAATTTGACGCTCGTTTTACATCCCTAAGTTTAGTCAAGACAACATTTTCATACTTTTTAAATGCTTATTTATTATGCCGTCACTGGTTTTATAATGCAGTACATGACTGCCCTTTGTATCCACTCTCGAGTAAATAAAAGTTAGCTGATTTAAAAATTAGTCTCCCTGCTTATGACCGAGAGAATGAGACCCTTGAATATTGGAATTCGTCCCGATCCGATCCGAACTCGTTTTTTGGCAAATGGGTTAGCTGCATTAGTTTTCCTCCAATGTGCTTTGTAAACACCAGCAAGGTTTCTTCATTAGGAAAGTCCATGAAAGCATTCCTTCGATGAGGCAGACAGCAGTCTTTTTCCTCAATTAAAATCAACCACTCCACTTCCGTTGGTACTTGAGATAATAAATAGCTCTAATAGCAATCTGCTTCTTGCATTCAGATTTTAAATTGAAAACCAGAATCTGATAGACCAATTAGACCGATTCTAATGCTTATTACGGAATATATCACCTCTGATATGGTGAAATATTTCATAAAAAGTGCATCCTTCTTTGAAAAAACATGTAATATAACATTTATGTTCTTTGTCATTTTTGGTGACGTTATTAAACGTTTACAGTACGTACGATGTTTACAGTACGTACTTTGGCTGGGCTAAAAGAAGATAGCCTATAAAATCCTTGTATTTAAGCTAAAGTCGGAGGTTTAATTCAAATTTACAAAGCCTTATCAACTTCTACAGCCGCATGTTACAAAGCATTCAATGAACTTTTTTTATTCAATGGAAATTTTTTTACAAATGCTTTTTCTCTGGTATTCTTAAAGTAATCAGAATACTATATATTTATTTTTTAACCCTATAACACTTTTGTTTTTTACCTTGTTGTATAAAAATTTGAGGAACAGCTCGCAAGCTATCCAATTCGTTAGTGGATATCCAGAAAAAACACTAATCACTGGTACTTCAAAATTTGGTTTAGCTTAGTTTTATGGCAAAGAGAAGAGGTATCAAGTATTTGGATGACCTACCGACAGAACATAATAAAAAATTCACATTGTTTTTGTTGTAATAATATAGACAAACAGATTTTCTTTAATCAGCCAGTATACGAGAAGTCTCAATATATATGGAGTCGGTTAATCAACTGATTGAGGCAAAGACACGAGGCCTATATGCCTACAAAAAATATATGGATTACATCTTCTTCACGCTTCAGTATTGTATAGAAAAGTTTAAAAAACAGCTTTTAATTTCTGAAAAATTAATTTAGATAAAAGTTCGACAAGCGAAAACCCATGCTTGTCCTACTGTTATAAAATTAGGTGCTTGATTTGAAATTTTAATCTAGTAACGATGTATTTCTTTGGAGTTTGATGTAATACAGTGGTTCTCAACCATTTTGTATCATGCACCCCTTTCAACAATGATCTTCCCTCTCTCCTTTCCAAACCTCCAAAAATACATTTATTTAAATTTAGATTAATTTTTAATAGGTTTTGTAAATTAAACAAGAAAAGAAAAAAAACATACACAAATACCAAAACTTAAATACTTAAAAAGTAAATAAAAGGCCGACTTCATTCCCCTTCCTAAAACAACTGAGAACCCTTGATATAAAATGAAAAACATGCAAATTATACTGAAATATCTAAAAAGAAAACAAAATAGTGAAACATTTAATGTTTTCTATTTGCTATAAGTTAACAACTTATAAAACTGAAAAAGAAAATGCACTCATAACCAAGTAATATAATTTAGATAAGTTACACAAATTTTTAATGCATAAAAATGTTAATATTTAATATTTTACTAACAATTTATAAAAAGGCTAAATGGTTGTATATTAGAAACACAACAGATTACCAATAACAGAAATATAAATAAATGCGGTTAAATTGTATTCAAAATTAAAGCGAATAACTGGCAGCAAACAACGTGAAAATACTTGAAAAATATACATCAATTCTGCAAATTATCAGGTACGTCATTCGATCAAAATATGACGTATTTTCAGTTCTGAACAACCAACTTATTTTTTAGCAACTACTAAATTTTTGTGCATTCACTATTACATTTTTCACTAAAGCTAGCCCCGTATCTATGTGCTATATTAGAACATTCAGCTGTAAGCCACAGATCAAATGCGAAGCGAGCAAAAGAAATTAAAATCGGGGATAGCTGTTTTCATTATAACAGCTGACTCATAATATTGCGTGTCATGCAGATTCCACCTGTTCACTACAAACTTTATGCGTTATTCCACATTGTCCTGTTTAAGGTAACCAACTCGTTTCGAATAGTTTTCGAGCGAATTTACCACTTGACAGACAAGCGACTTTATCTCCTTTCTGCAAAACGTTCTTCATTGTCAGTCTTCAAAAATCGCCAAAACTCCATCTCTGTGGAACACCTGATTTAACCTTTTATAAACTCTTTAGTAGTTAATGACCAGAAAAAAGTAAGTCGAACCTTTTTTGCCCCATGCACCCCTTTCACCACTGCTCGACAATCATTCCCCGCTCCCCCCCTTTTTCCAGAACTCGAAAAATACATACGCATCAATTTAAATACAGGTAAAATCCTAGTATACGGTATTGGCGCGATTTTGAAAGTATGTAGATTAATGCGATTATTAGAAATAAGAAACAAATATTATAAAATAAATAAAACAAGAAATATTATTAAAATAAACAAGAGGAAGTAGAGAAAATGGTTATAATTGCGAAAAAACTTGAATCACAATAGTTTTATGTTCATAAACTAAAACTACATACTTAACAGATAAACAAAAAGCTGACAGCATTCCCCCTGGTTGAGAATCGCTACTTTACGTGGTAACTCTACTGGTTGTACTCGGCCGTTTTAAGTCATGCAAGAAAGCACAAAAATTGCACTAAAGAGCTTTATAAATATTTTGATGTGTGATAACGCTTTTAAAAATCGAAGGCATTTAAAAATATCACAACCTACAAAGCGACAGAATATTTACTAGAAATTTACATCTAAACTAACGATGAACTGAATCATCTGTTTATATTACTCTATTGGAGATATCTGAATTTTTGCAAGTTCAGACATTACCCAAGTACATTGTTATATTTCAATTATAAAATTCGCGATAATGACAAAAGTACGATAAAAGGAAGATTATCCATATTTTAGTTTTCACTATGTATCGATGACTATTTTTCAGTCATAAGTATGAAGATATAAATCGATTAAAACTTTTGAGTAATCTATTATTAAATACTCTAGATTTTTAACTTTGAAAATATGATTCATTAATTTCAGATCCAATTTTGATGTCTGTTTGCATTTACATTACATCCAAAACTTAATAAAAATGCTCATATCACATTATACTAGTTCATATACATTTTCTCCGCCAACTAAACTGTTACAGTTCTTATTCATAAAATTCGTGAAAATACAGAACCTGCCCAAAAAAAAAAAAAAACAAATGAAAATCAGTCAACGAATCCAGTCTTCCCTAAAACAAAATATACTGGTAAATGATATAGTCCACTTCCAAGTTTATGGGACCTCCTCCCAAAGCAAGCTAAAAATGTATATAAAAAATGAATACACACACAGATATAAACAAAAAAGAAAGAAAACACCTAAATATATAAAAATATTTTTGTAAAATAAAACTAAATATTTCGGTATTCTTTCTAAATTGATTCAACGTACAAAGAATGTAACATTTTTTTGGCACTTTTATTAAAAAATTACAACAAAAGATTGTAACTGTTTAAGATTCATTCAAATCATTGTTCATCAAATTTATGAACCGAACTTTATCTCATCCATTACACATATGAATAAAGATTACAGAATAGGTAGTTCCTATTACATTATAAACATTACATTTGTAACTACGGACAAAAATAGAAAATTATTTGTTTAAACAATGAAGAATGCTTGTGTTTTAGCTATGCATATAATAGATTTAATAGCCGAAAATTGCTTACATATAAAATTCAACACAATTTCAAAACACAAACCAATTCAGATTAACAATTTCGCTCATTTCTGAAATAAAATATCATAACAGCTTATTGCTTTAAGTGCTACAAAGATAACGCATTCTAATTTGTCTGGAATTTACAAATAATATATTTTCTTACAACAAAAATTTATACTAAAATTTCAAAATTACGTTAATACATTACACTCCAACATTGTCAAAACTGCACAATTAGGAACACACTGGCAAAATTGTGTATAAAAGTACGCTAACATTAACAATAGTAAATAATTATCTAAAATATTAAATTTATATTTTCAGCGCTCTAAACTCTTAAGAAACTTAACTTTTTTGCAAAATACAACTTTGTAGAAAAAATATTACTATCATAAGTTTTAAAATTCAGTAAACATAAAATTAGGAAAAGGCAAGCAACAAATATTAATATCACTTTATATCAAATTATTTTATCACGGAAAAAATACTAAAGCTCAATTTCAATTCCTTTACTTGGATTCAATATTTTGGACTCACCAACAGTCATAAAAATTACTCACCTAAAACTTAAGAAATCATGATATGTTACTAAGAAAAAATATTAATTTTATAAATACTCCATTTGGCTTCTACTTTTCTTTTAGGGAAGAAAATGCATTATCTTTTATCCGTTCTCATCTTTTGAGAGTTGCTCAAATGTAGACAAACAGTTGGCATTACCAGCAAATAATCTCATAACAATCGATAGAAATTTGCGATAGAAACTCATTTTAAATTTATTCCTTAGGTCCAATACCCACACATTTGCACAAATCCATGGCAGAACAAGGTCCAAGGATAGAACGCGCATTTTTATACTTTCAAATTTTAATTAAATATTTTGCATTCATTCAACTGGCACTGACCAGTCTGAAGCAATTCGTCCGTACTGGATGTCGGTTAAAGTTTTTAAAAATCGCCTGTAAAGAGGGCTGTCATGTTGCGTTGTTGGCACATTGATATCTTCATTGAGAAATCTCACTTTACTAACAGGACACACAGAAACTGCTGTGCCAGACCCAAACATTTCCAGCAACCTTCCTTCTTTATTGGCAGCAATAATTTCATGCATGTTTATAGGTCTTTCTGAAACTGTGAACTCTTTCCATTCTCTAGCTAAATCCAATATACTTTGCCTTACTATACCGGGCAATATTGTGCCATCTAAAGGAGGTGTTACAAGTTCAATCTCACCATTTGTTTGTTTCAAGACGAAAAACACGTTCATTGCGCCTACTTCCGTGATTTGTAAATCTTTTCCCATAAGCCATAGCACCTGCTGCAGACCTTGTTCTTGGGCAATTCTCTGGACATACAATGTTGGCGCATAGTTGCTGGCCATTTTTCTGTCTCCAATCCCGCCAGGCCAGGCTCTGACGAAAAGAGGATCTGCCAAGAGTGACACTGGTTTCTCTTCTCCAGCAGTAAAATACGGTCCTACAGGACATGTTAAAATGTATAACAAAGTCTTATTGGAAGCCTGAACACCTAAATTTTCTTCTACCCCGATAGCGGTCGGACGTACATACAAAGAACAACCCTCGACATCTGGTATCCAATCTTTCTCAATTGCGACTAATTTCTTCAAGCATTTCAGCAATTCACCAGGGGCGAACAATGGCAATTCTGCTCTTTTGCAAGATAACAGTAGACGCTCCATATTCTTTTCCGGTCGAAATAACGCTGCGGTTCCATCTGAATATTTAAACGCTTTCAAACCTTCGAATACTCCTTGAGCATAGTGTAAAACTTTTGATCCCGGATGTAGCTGGAAATTGTGTATGGGAACTATACGAGGAATACCCCAACCATCAGTTCGAGTCCATTCAACCTCAAACATATGATCAGTATAAATTGATCCAAATTTTATTTTCTTAGGATCTGATTTTGGTGCCTTTTTAGAAGGTGGGATAGTTTCGATTTGCAAATCGGAGAATTTGAAAGTTTCACTTCCAGTCGTTGTTGCATTACAACGTGATAAACAAAGAGTCGGTATATATCTTTTGCACTGCGCGGCCGAAAAACGAAATATTATTGGCAACGAAATCTCCATTTCAGTTACACGACAACGTTCCCGCACCCAGCATCTAATGAAAGTGAGAATATTCTGCTCCTCCTAACTCAGTTACTCTCTTTAGAAAGCGCCCTCTATCCATATTATGACGTAATTTTTGCTTTTATTTTATCAGATGATCCCATAATTAGTTACACACATGACGAGTGACAGTTTTGCTTACAGGGGTGTGTCTTCAACGAGTACGCGATACGTCACAACCTTGGCAATGCCTTGCATAAACGAATGCGAGTCTGCGCGTACTTAACTTTTCTCGATCGACGCGTCTAAGGGGAAGGTCAACTGGTTGTTATTCGCTATTTCTTCCCAACTTGTGCGCAGTTTCAGCTCGAGTTTGGCCAGCTGCTGCTTTAAGTCTTTTGCTCTTCTCGAAATCGGCGTCTTTGAGGGTTCTGAAAAAACGATTTGTTACTTTGTTGTAGGAAAATTAAATAACAAAATTTGTCTTACAATGAACTTCCTTTGCTCTCTCTTCCTTTCGTTTTTTCCCCTTTTCTCCCCCTCTCTTCTTTCCCCAAGCAGTCAGGGAGAGAATGAATATGCAGAGGCAGTAAAAGCTTAGTTGAAAGAACCACTTCAGAGATAGGAATGTACCTAAAAGCCATCGTGCTGCTTTTTCGCCAAAAATCTAGTCTTGTGTAAATCTTAAATTTTCGTACTTTTATATGACGTAAGACAAATCGTAAAAAAAATATATTCACACACACACAAATGTATAACACATATCTGTTAAGAAATGTATTCGTTAATCATTAACAATTAATTAATTGTACAGCTATACAAAAAATTTATTATAGCCAACTATTTGAATATTCTGTTGTTCGCGTTCTGACATAAAATGGGTGGCAAAACCGAATGATAATTCGTATTTATATTAGTTATACCTTCAATGTTAGTCAGGCAGACAGTTTTGCAATTTTTTTATTAATACACGTATAGCTAAAAAAGTTATTCTAAAAAAACTATTAAAATAATTAAATTAATTACCTAAATAATCATGCATTGTTAAAATTATTAGAATAAATTCATTAGTAATAATTGTACACTAGTGTTATGTGAGACTTGTTTTTAAATGGAATCTGTTATAAATGTTCTCAATATTGAACATTATTCTTGTTCCTTTTCCTTTAGTTTTAAGTCTTAAAAAATATGTCTTGAGTAATTACTAAAAATAAATGGAAACAATTACAAAAGCGCACGGTTGACAAGAAAAATAATACCTTGCTTCATTTTCTTAATTAATTCTTAATAAGTTCAATTATGGAAGTTTATTTTAAATCAGATTACGTATATTGATTTTATTATTCTACAATTTAGAATATTTTTAAATACTTTAGAAGAAATGTATTGTTTCGTTCTCTTTATCAGACATTGTATTATTTCAGTTAAATCCACATTTGAGTCAGCATTCTATTTCTGGAATGTTTGACTTTTTGATGCCGACTTAAATGTGGGTTTAAATTACCACTACAAAATGCAGTGTTTAAACAGTAAAAAAAAAAAAAAAAAAAAAAAAAAAAAAAAAAAAAAAAAGAATCTGATGTGGATCCCACATGACACCCTTGTACGCCTATTAAATTATAAACTTTTTACCGCACTTCGTTTAATCTTATTTCCTCGAATTATTCTAACTTAATTAACCGATTTCTCAAGAAAAGTTGAAAATGACATCAAAAACTGAAAATTTGGAAATTGAATATTCCTATCAATTTTTGTCGTACGGGAGTCAAACGTTTTATATTTTTATTTTTTCACAACGAATATAAAAGTTTCCCAAGTATAAGTATAGGAACCTGGAGACCGCATTAAAAGTTTTTCATTATTTGTCCAACATAATTTTTTTAAAAGTTTGAAATCGCCGAAACATGAATATTTTGGTTATTTAAAACCCTTCTGTAATTAGAAATTTATGTCTACTATCAACGATTGCGAAAATAAAAGCCGGGTAAGGACTTTTAAGCCGGATAAGGGGGATAGGTGTATATTTATATGTATATACATATTACTGCCGATTACATTAAAAAGGAGGATGCACATCTACTAAATGTTATTAGCAATCCCATATAAGAGATTTCAGCATTTTATGGTTAATCGTTACTCAGCTATTTGAGATAAATACGTCCATTTTGAATCCCTTTTACAATCCGTTTTAGAATAAAGAGTCCTTTATTTTATCCGTACGTACAGACATCCCGCACAAAATTAGTCAAAATGAATTCGGAAAAGGTGAAAATGGATATTTCCGTTGAAATTTGAAACTCGAAATTTTTTCGCGATTACATTATTTCCTTTTCTTTCTTTACGAGGAACTAAATTATTTCTTTCTTTACAAGAAAATAAAAAAGTATTTATTTGAGATATTTTCAGAAAAATGAATGCAAACAATTATCAAGCAAAGAAATCTTTAGAAAAATTAATGTGAAAATTTAGTATTTATGAAATGATTCACTTCTATGAATAAAACACTTTTTACAAGCCAAAATTCGAAGAGGCTTTTTACTTTTGAGGAAAAAAGCAAAATAGAGCTCAGACCTGTATTTTATGCAATGACTGAAGAAAACTGTGAAAACTGCATGCAGTTTTAGAGCACTTTTGCAAGATGCTTTAATTATCCTCTTAAAATTCTGTAGTTGAAAGAATGCGCTAGCAATTAAGCCTACTATTCAAAGCCTTTCACCTCAATGAGATGAGAAGAACTTCGCGATTGTCAGTATGGTGGGTGGCGAGAGAAACTGAAGATGATCACGGATAAAAGTGATATCACGGATAAAAACATCAAACATCTTCCAAGCTGTCTCCTGAATCTTATTTACAAATTTTCGATGACTAACCTCAAGGTTTTTAATTTCACTAACCTTAGACTAACCTTACTGCACCATTTGATCACTGCCATCCTGTATACATGTCTTCGGTGAGACACAGTGGCGTAGCGAGAGGGGGGCATGGGGGTGCATAATGCCCCGGGCGCCGCTCGTAGAGGGGCGCCAAATGGTCTCCAACCAAGATTTTCCGGAAAATTTCAGTTTTTATTTTGATCGATTTCTGTAAAATATATTTAAACTTAATAACTATTGTAATTAATTATATATAATTAATTATTTATTTTCTTGATTTGTCTGATAAAATGTGTAATAAAATGTTTGCATACATCAACCAAACGTTCTTCCTGACCACTTTATTTCTCCAAAGTAGAGATATATTAATATTTTTTAACGAAATGCACGTATATGTTCTCTTTTATTTTAAACGATTTCTCAAACATATCCAGTTTCTAAAATCCGATCCATAATCTGGAAAGACATTTAGGAAAATCCTAACGCTTCCGTTACAATGGATTGCGTTTGACTCTCCTGTAAACGACTGATTGCCTTCCTGCTTACCGATTCAACTATGTCATCTTGCTGAGACATCGTATATTCACTGCTACGAAGCATTCAACGCATGTCAATTGTTTTTAATCTCCTATTACAAAAGAATACTGCAGGTCGCTTCTCATTCTTATCTAAACGCATAGTTTTTAACTTCACAGAAATTTGCATATTCCCAACTTTGTAAACGTTATAATTTTCCTTTATAATCTCTTCTATTTCCTTTTGTTCAAAAAGGTTGTCGATTATATGGTTATTTCATATCGAACCCACAATATCCCCTAATTGTTTGAGCGTGAATATGACTGTATGACGTTACTCCGCAGTAGAAAAGACGGAACCTAAAACTGCCACTACAATCTATAGAGAAAATGTTTTCCAAACCTAGAGTCGCACTTCAAATACTACTTACTCTTTCATTTCAAATGCTATTATGAGCGGTGCTAAATTATTAAATAAAATTTTCACATATTTACAATCAACGATGGGACAAGATCCCCTAAGTCATCTCAGCATTTTTAAGTGTGGAAAGAGAAAAATTGAAAGGATCGACTTTGAGAAGTAAATGTAAATTTGCTTCATTCCAAGGTAAGAAAAATGTATACATAGTAATTAATTGTATTCATATATTATTATTATTATAAATATAATGCCCGACCAAGTCGAGGTGCACGTGATTGAAGGGAGATGAGAGCAAATTAAAATTTTTAAGTTGGCTGGTGGTGTGTCTGGACAATTTTAGATCTTTGGCACTCCAAGCACGAACGTGTCTAGTTGGCTATGTCCTTTTGCATGCTAGCCATACGAAACGTTTGCTGTATCATTTTTTTTCGAACCTTGATGCCAGGATGTGACAGACGATGTCACTAACTAAAAAATGGCATGGTGAAATCCGGAGGGAACATAGGTCGAAATCTTCAATTCTGAACATCACAATAAAGTGATTTTTCCAGGTGACAGCTGCATAGGCTGCAAGTTGAGATTGGTGGAAGATTTGCTCTTCAAGAGGGTTTGTAGTTCTGAATCCCGGTGTTATTCACCGCAAGGGCAGCAAACTTATTGGCGAAGGAACGGCTATTCTTCAATACGAGACAAGGTGTCTGCAACAATATCTGCGAACCCTCAATATAACGGATAGCTGTTGAAAATTTCCTATGAAGTCTAGTGTCTCATTGACTAGGAGAAGTTTTATCTGTGAAAAGCAAAAACATAAGCCTTTTAAAGGGCGACTGGTGTTTTCAGGGAACCCGACGCCAAATCCTGGGTGTGGGAATCCTCATCCTTTTAGTTCGAACGCCACTGTAGAGACATTAGGATATTTGGAAGCAAGAGAGATTGAAAAATTAGCAACCGTTTCGCCGGAATCGAACCGCGGACCTCTGGAGTACGGCCCAGCGTGCAGAACCACCTATCATGAAGGCACACTAGGAAAGCGGGAGAAATACCTTAAACGTAGAGTGATAATGGTTTAGATGCGAAAAGGATACGCAAATTTGTTGCCGAAAATTAAATAATTTTGCATTTTTGGAATGCTTCGCAAGATTCTGCG